TACTCGAATAAACAAATGGTAAAAGCTTTAAATAAAAAAAAAATGTGCACCACACACACATTTCTTATTCATTCATTTATATATTTATTTTAAGTTCTAGCCATCTGCTTATTCATATATTTTTTTCTAGTAAACACTTTTCGACGTAAAATTTAACACCCACATATGGCACCTCCCTTGCTCTCGTTTGCATATACATACATATTGATCTGTTTTATACCCACATACATATGTTTAACAGACTAATGCTTGAAACAATTGGTACACAGAGGCTTTTTCATAATTACGAAAAACCAAAAAACAGAAAAAATAAATAAAAATTATGTGTTGCGCTCACGGGATTCGTACCCTCGAACCCGCTGGAAGCCAAAAAAGAACAGCAAGCACTTCTGCACGTGCAGCCACAGCCAGACATACGAAGTTGTTTTCAATGTTCAATTTGAATAACATTTCTTACAATCGGTTTGCCAACCATGAAAAACTCAAAAAATAACTTGGTTGAAAAAAACGAATGTACCCTTTAACATTTATTTTTTGACTTTTATTCAATGACTCCTTAAATAACCGTTATTTCTGACTTTTATTTTATAAATCCAAAATAACAATTGTTTTTAGATTCTTTATCTAAATAATTGCAAATAATAATTACTTTTGATTTCTAAATTTTATGTCTCAGATAACAGCTATCGAAGAGTTTTATTTATATTTATATTTATCGGTCACTGACATTTATTTTTTAAATCCTACTTACAAAAGTCATTTGCATAAGTCGTAGTAAACTTTTGTCTTCCAACACTTTCTCAACTGCGAAAAATGTTAAAGACTTTTATACGAACGATTTAAAAGTGAAATTCCGTGACTGATTTATATTGATGAATTTTATAAATAAAAGTCTTCAATAACTGTTTTGTCTAAGACATATAATATAAAAATCAAAAATAATTGTTATTTTTTTTTAATTTTGCATAAAAATTTGAGTCTCGTTGAAAAAAGAAATCAATTGGTATGTTTCACTTAGTGAAGAACCATTAAGCGAAGTAGATTTGTTTTTAAACAACTTTTGCTATTCGAGTTTTTTAGGACCATATATGGGGCATTCGATACCAAAACAGACGGGGTTTACATTTAATGTGTTTGATTTGTTTAAAATTTTTAGGGTTGATGCATAAATATAAATAATGAATAAATATGAAATTTTAGCTTGATTAATACATTTTTGAAAACATTGCAGCACAAAAATAACAACAAATCGATTTAATAGTTTTCAAAATATTCCGAGAAAGGGGCGAGGAAAAAATTTGAAAAAATCACAGATACACACATCAAAATTCTCTATGAAAACAAATGTTTAAGAAATTTTTTTTTTCTTGAAACATTTTTCACATACAACTTTTTTTTTATAAAAAAACACGTTTTTGAAAATATGCCATCTCAAAAAAAATAGAAAAAAACCAAAATGGTAGCTCTGAATATTGCGCAATATTTAAGTATAGTGCACTCTACAATAAAATGAGTTATGCATTTCTTTTACACCGAAGATGAGTACATACATTACAAAATTACAAATTTTTTAAAATTTTTGTAGAATTTTTTTTGAGTATGCAGTTTTTAGCCCATTAAATTTAGTAGTACATTAGTATAATAAAGTGCAAGTTTTAAGCGATTGAAAACGGGTTTGCGCATTTTCTTCCATAAGAAAAAAGCGCAAAAAGCCATAAGCATAAAAAAAAATTTTAAATTTGCGTACAAATCTCCATGACAAAAATCTACGCTACAATTTTTTCAACGGAATTATAAAATCTATTATATTTTCAGCTGGGCTGATTTGAAAATACCTACAAAAATTGAGTTTTTATAAGTAAAATTAGTTTTAGAAAATTTTTTTTCCCAAAAAATTACCTCAGATGATAGATGGTTAGTAGCTCTGCATACAAATGTTTAAAAATGTTTAATATAATACATTTTTATAATTCCGGTGGAAAAACCGCAACTTTTTTTTTGGTGATGCACCCTAATTTAGTTACATACACTTTTAAGTATTATGGGAATCCTAGTGATTTGAAGAATAACACGATAGTGGCAATTTTGATTTATAATCGCCCGACTTAACCATGTTTTTAATATGGAAGCGTGTTGTTTGATGCAAATGTGTGGTACGGGGCGTATGAGTAATCAATCGCAATGCCTTCGCCGCAAGCTAAACAAACATAAATGATATATCGCAATCCACTGCGTCAAGCTACCGTTATTTGCATTTTAGTGTTCAATTTAAAATAAATTATTAATACCTACTTATGTTTATAATTAGGTCGCGATGAAATCCAAAAAAAAGGTTTAGGAAATAAAGACTCACTAAACTAGCTACCACTCAAGTGCATAAAAAATAATTGAATAATGAAATGAAATTACGCAAATTAAGAATCAACTAAAACTTAAAGCTACGGCAGACAACATAAGCAGCAAAAACTAATTTGCGTTAGGAATTTCCGGTGTTAGCAGCAAATGCCAACATCACCAAAAGCAAAACTGCTAAGAATTTAAGTTTCAACCAACAACAAACCTAAATAACAACAAGAATAACAACAAAAACTGGATTGATTGTGTAAGAGAGATAGAGAGTGATAGAGTAAGGAGAGCGACGGCAACAACAACAACAACAACAACAAAAGTCACGGTCGGAGCATAGTTGAAATTGTTGAAAAATTAAAAGCAAACAAATTAATTAAATACGATAGCGAGGGTAGCGGTTAATGGTGTGAAAATAAAAGGCCTCGGAAATTCATTTCGTTTTCTTCGCACAAAAACGTACGAAAGTACGAAATTAAGTAGTTAAATATTTTTTAAATAAGAAGCTAGCTAGAGGCAAGTGATGTGCAGTGCAATAGAAATACTTTTGTGATAACAATAAAAGACCGAATAAAGTTAGCAGTACCGCATCCTCGTTGCTTGCGCGTAATCGAGTGATCCGAAAAGTGAAAAGTATAGCGCAGGCATAGCCACTTAGTTGCTCGCAAACAATTTTCACGCACGCGATAGTCTATTAAAAGAAAGCCGATTCGAATAGCCGAGTGTCCTGCTAATTACGTACTTTCAAATTTGTCACAAGACGCTACAACTAAGCTACATACACCTCTTATACGACATACATATATAATTTCTATAAACGCTCACATCTCAATCCGCTGAACGCACAATTTTTAACGACGCTGTGCTGCTCGCTGGCACGTGAGCAGAGCTGAGCAAAACTCCATTTCGTTGCGGCAACTAAACGGCGTGGCTCGACCTTGAGTAAATAAAGAATTCAACAGCACTTCCGTAGTACAGCGTCACAGAAAGCGCCGTGCTGATAGTGGTGCAACAATTGAAGGCAACTGCCTTCTCGAAGCCGGAAAGTTTGCTCATTTGAACGCCGTGTGCTTCGAGTCTAAGGTAAGTGTACACTTTAAGGTTCCATTTTTTTTTGCTGTTTCAAGGTTTTTGGCATTTTAATTTTATGCTTCAAATATATTCTGTGTGGACAAAATTTGCGATCAGAAATTAAAGTGTCTCACCCGCTAGCGCTTTCAAAACGTACATACATCCAGAATACGGTTTTGTTATTATAGGACAAAATAAATATTAATTTAGAGCAAAGTCTTCAATTTACTTGGAACTTTTAGTTGAGACCAGTCTACGTTCAGATTTAAAAAATTCTAATGGCGTGTCCATATTGAATGTATCATTTAAATAACACGGAAAAAGTTAAAACCGAGCGTACGTACGTGGCGTATGAGTGACATATTAGTAAGAATTTGGTCTGATTTCAGTTTCTTAACCAGAGATGTTACGATACCTTTGTTGTAGAGTTTTAAGCGCATCTAATCGATTTAATTTTTTGCTGTCATATCGCGTTCGCCCGCGCAGAAAACGTTTCAAGCGAAGCTGATTCATTTTAGTTTTTTGGCTGCCGTATTGGATCCGATATTATGAATTTTTAAAATCAAGCCCTATATTCGTAATCAGCAATCAAAAAATAATAAAAATTTGCCGTTTTCTGTTATAGTGCAAAATCTAATTCACAGAAAGTTTAGATGCCATACTTTCTCCAAAGATTGAAATCTAGACGGTCATTTAACACCTTAATTTTTGTAATCTGTGTGATAGAATTTCGGCCATCGGAATATATATGTCGATGTGGAACATCTTATAAATCATTTTCACGGAATTCGTTTTTTTAACAAATTCTGTGAAAGATAAGATTTAGCTGTCGAAAAAATCTACTCAGTGGTTTGGAAATGAATATTACACCGCTTTTCTTACATCCCTATGTTTAGCGCATTCTCGGCGCTGATCTATCCGTCTAGCAAAAGGAAATGATCTCATAAAACTTTGGTAGTAGAATATGCCCCGCATTTGTTATAGAAGTTGTTGGAAAATGTCGAAAATCGTGATTATATACCAATTTTTAGCGCATTTTTTTAATTGTGCGTGTACAAAATTTTGCGAATAAAATTCTCTAGAAATTGGTATTAATTATTTAAAAATGCAAAATAAGCTTGAAATCGCGAATTACCCCAAAAAAAAAATCTAAAATCCAATATAGCGGATTGTTCCTATAAAATTTAAGGGCAAGACTGTGAGTTTAAAATCTACGTTTTAAAAAAGTAAACAACGGGAAAGTTCTCAACTAAATTTAATTTTTTTGGAAATAGAATAAGACTACTGGCTAGATAGCAGAACTGAAACCGAAATAAACATGTTTGCGCATGTCATATCCATAACCAAATTTGCACGTTGAGCACTTCAGGTACATGCTTGTCTCTCTTATTTAGGGGTTGCTCATATGCATGAATATTTTCCGCTTTCAAAACAAAGCTTGGTTACCTCAACTAAAATTTGGTAACTATCTATGACCATACCATGTGTTGAGAGACAGTTTATCTATATTAGCAAAACATAATAACTAATTAATTACTATTTACCAAACTCAAATAACCCTCCAATTAAAGAAATAAAAATATATTTCAATCAGCGCTTACACAAAGATAGGGGGACGCCTACATCGTGTGCAGAGTTTGTTGAGCGTAGGTCAGTTCCCCCTCGCAAGGTCGTCTGCCGCGAAATTTCTCAGTATTCCACTGTGCCCGGGTACCCATACCTCATTAATCGTAACTTTCGCGGCAGCAAATTTGAGGTGTAACTGCACTGCAGAGATTTAATCGCTGCTTTAATGTCAAAATAACGGATTATATAGAAGTTGCGCCGCTATTAAGCCATAGGGCTGCCTGCATTATAGCTATGAATTCGGCCTAAAAAATGCTGCAGTGGTCCGGGAGCCGCCTACTAAGGCTTAGCGAGAGGTATTTAGAGTAAATTCCACTTCCAACTTTATTGTCAGCTTCGACCCGAGTGATTCACCAAGTCGCTTCTGTCTGGAATTCAGGTAGAAAACCTATTTTCAAAGCAAGAACTTTTCTGATGTAATCCATGTTATGTAGGGTTGCTACAATGGTGGTCAGAATTTTTGAGCGACCGTACCTAAGCCATAAAAAAATTAACATTTGAACACTTGTATGAATTACTGTAAGTTTTTCCAACTTTCGATCCAATTTTCGATTTCCGCAAAGCAAGTAAATCGGAGATCTGCTAAATGAGGGTTCAATTTCACTTGGACGTCTTTTTTGGTTTTATTCTGCTAAAATAGATCAGATATAACCCTCACTGATCGTCTACACAAGATTCGGAAAATTCTGGCTGCTCATAAAAAAGCAACGCACATCCATTGAATGCAAATAAAACTGAGAACCGCAAATATTCAGCTCTGCTCTTGAGACGACGATCCACTATGCATAAATGCTATATTTCCTTTCTAAAGTAGCATTTATATAAAACGATTTTATAAGCGATTCAACATCGTCTGAATAGTTGAAACAGACTTTACAGAGGCGATTTTGTTAAAAGCGTTGTAACGATATCTCAGTTTGTATAACATAACATCTAGAATTGAACTGAATTTGGGGTCACTCAAAACTTTTTTATAGCATCCGATTGTTTATACTCAATTACATATTTAAATTTTAAGATCACTCATACGACGCGGCATCCATAACGAATATGATGAAACGGAAAAAATACGGAATCGCTCTTTAGGCCTGGTGTGGAGTCAAACAAAATTCTTACTTTTAAAACTAAAGTGTTTCTACAAAGAAAATTACTACTTTGTAGCCGTTCCTACAAAACATTTGATTTTCGTGACTTCACATACCACTGTACGTGCGCCTGCCTGGCTTCCCCCCACTTTCTGATAGAATTTTCCTTTAAATGCTGCTAAGCACAATTCTCTTAATTATGCTAGGTAAGGTTAATATAGCTAGCTTCGGTCTACGCTTCTGATTTTTGGTTGCAGGCTATAAATATCGAATATTAGTTTATCTTTTAGTAGACATATGCACATAATTGGCACTTGGACTCAAGGGATCCTGCATTTGTAGCTATGCAATGCGTGTGGCGCCAGCAGAACCGTTATCGTGGTGCAGTCTGGCTGTAGCAGTGCCAGTATGAATCGTTTAGTTCAGCTTTCATTTGGCTTGCACATCAACTGCGCAGCTTTGCTGTTGACTGAGCTGTTCCACTTGCTTTTTAAGGACTTTGCCTATTTCATTCTGTAGATTTTTTATTGAATGTTTTGCCGTTTATGTGTTCGTTACCTAAGTAAAGAGCGCCCTTGGCTATATCATCCACTATTTCCTTTCCCTCGATGTCCTTATAGCCTGGAACCAAGTAGTTATGGAGCTATCTATTCAAAACCTAGTATATCGACTGCTTCCCTGTCTCTTAGAATATTTTTGTAAGAAGTTTGGAAGTTTGTGCAGATTGCCGCTTAACTTCCAAAGCTGCCCTGGTGTTGTGTGATAGTAGCGTCTTTATCGCAGCTTGACTGCCGATGTAGAGATCCACCTGTTTATTTGATAGGCTGTTTTTCAGTAGCTCCGCCGCCCTTCTTGTAGCCAGTACTTCCGCCTGGAAAAAATCTACAGTTGTACGGAAGCTTATGCGATTTTTTGAGACTGTGCTCCGCACTGATGACTGCGGTCCCTGCGCATTTCTTCGTATTCGCCCCATCTGTATAGACATTCACCGAGACAGCATTCCTCCGGCCCTTACGCCAGCCTTCGACCTATATAGTGCCTTTGGAATTCGCCTCGAAGTGCAGATCCGGTATCATTTACTCAATCCATCTGGGCAAAGCTGGATGTGCACACGAACTGCCCTGTGGTAGTGAGCCTGGCGAAAATTATGGACGCTATATTCTTGGCCGTTAGGTCCATCGGAAAGATGTGCAAAAAGGTGAAAACTGTTGCCGTTGATATTGTACTTCTGTCCTGCCGATATTTGAGAGCCTATAAAAACTGTCTATTCTTTTACAAAATTTTTTATTCCAGATCAATTGGGCTAACCAGTATTATACCCAGGTACTTGGTGCTTGGCTTCAGCTGGCGGTTCACAACATCCAGCTTTGGCCCGACCAGCATGAAAACTTATATTTCCTGGTAAGGTGTACTAGAAATGTAGTAGCGAGCCTGGAAATAGAAGACTAACTTCCACCGCTTACATATTTAAATTTTCGAAAAACAAAATGTAAAAAACTCGCGACAAGCTTTAGAAACTTAAATATTAGTTAATTAGAAATTTTTTACTAGGAATCTTTACAAAATATGTATGCACATGAATATCTATGATAAACCACGCTATTCCCGCTACATATATTAAAAGTCCTAGTTCGCCTCATAGACATACAAAAGAATACAAAAACTTTTCGAAGAGTGAACTGTTCGCTGGAATACAGCGCTGTACATTCATGGCCATTGTTCATAACTGAAACTGAAAATGGAAATAAGAAAAAAAAAAAACTAAAGCTGCCCACTCAAGCACTCAAACGAATAATCGTTGCATAGATTGACAAAGAATTTCCTCTTGCAATTACATAAAGAATGCAAAATAACAGAAACGCAATAATACGAGCTCTCCGCATATGTAAGTCGAAAGTAGATGAAAAAGAAAAATAAAAAATAATAAAGGAATACCAAATCCCATACAATTCAATTGTTGCATGCTGATGTGATTGCTGCCTTGGTACCCATTGACAAATGCATTTACTGCGCCATTTGTTATTCACGAATGCTGTCAGCCGCTCGCTTGCTTCCAGGTATACGCTCGCATTATTTTATGCCATTGCATGCTCGGCAAGCATACACAATGTGCCATCCGTCCAACGCCATTCGCCATCCGTCGCCACGTTCGCCATTCGTTCTCGCCCTCTCTCTGTGACGACAGACGGTGTCAGTCAGCACTGGTCGATCGATCGACTTTGTGTGTGTGTGTGTGTGTACGTTGCCTGTTGCTGTTGGTTTAATGTGCTCGGGGATATTGGTGTTGTTTTTTTTTTTGCA